TACAACGTCTCATTTCACAGGGTCACGGCTACATCCCGCCGTTCTTCGAAGTCCTTCACTTCTACAAGACTTCTCTCTTGTGTGAAATCATGCACTCAACTTTCGCTGACACGCGACATCTACGCTCATTGCGGGCGCGATTTCCTGACCTCTACGACTTCATACATGATCCAGGTCATCACCAACAACCGTGCGTCTACGTTCGACTTTCCCCATGGCACACACCATACTATGTTGGGGCGACTGATCAGGATGTTCTACGTCGTGAACACTCACGCAGTCGCAAATTTCTACAACTACTTCGTGGACGGCATGCCTTCTTTGAACCGGCGCTTCACTACTGGAAGCGATCCAATACTTACTGGCTCTTCTGTGCTGTACCAGTGGAAATCAAACTTCCAGTTTCCTCGGTGTGGGTTCAAGAAAGCAAATGGCAATACCTGCTACGCCCGCATTTGAATGCGCCCTGGGTACACAGAATCTTGCGCAAGGTGGGCTTCCGGGAACATCTTGTAGATTTTCGACGCCACTCGTTGTCGTCGCCCACTTCCCTCGGCTTGCACAAGCGCTTTCGACGACGACTACATCCGGATCTCCAACGGCAACTACGACCTAACACCCTGGATGAAATGATAAGCGGCGGCGGTGTGTCCGGTTTGAGTTGTTGTTCACATGATACTTGCTTGCTTGCACGTGACTCAATCTTGCTTGTCGTGTTGCGAGATGTCGTTGACATGCAGTGATGTCTTTCCTGAGTTGCTCAAATCATGTCAGAACAAGTTGTACAGACGTACATAGCAGCATCCCACTACTATGACTGCATTCATGCCAAGGATGGCAGGTGGAAACTAAGATCTTCGATCGCAGTGCCCAGCTACATGGGCATCTTCTGGTGAACCATGGTGGCATGCCAGTACAATAGCGTTGCTGCTGACCTGACGTGTTGTGCGCTTTGTGTTTTTCATGATGTACCTCATGACGCTCCTCTTCCGGAAAAACGCATTGAGTTGTCCGTGGCTCATGGTTGACTTTGAAATAAGGGTGGCCTCTACACTTGCATGATCTTGCTTTGCTGTTGTTTGAACATGGTTGTGCATGGTGCTTGTTCACCTACTAGCTGGATCGGAGCCCGCGACCATCCTTGCCTCTTGCCTCGACATGGACATCGATGATTCCAAGCAGTATCCATGGCTCGAATATTCGGTCTGGCATGATCAGGAGTGGGTGCGGATTTACACTCCGGGACAACCTCAACGATGGCACCGTGGTGACGCCGTACCTGATCTACCTGAAAACTCTTTTCGTGAATGGCAGCGGGTGACGGATCCCGAAGCGCCAGTCCAGGCATGGGACATCCGTGACTGGCAACACCAAGGGTACCAGCGCATTCTGTCTCGGATTGAGTCCTTCGCAACTCACACTATTCACATGATCAGACTCTTGGTCAAGGTCGGAACTCCGATGCCGTTCAAGTTGAGGAGACCTTCACCTATGCCACTCCGTTTTCTCATAGTGATCGCCCGGCTGCTTCGCATATTGCCACGCCCAGTTCCTATGTGTCCTATCACGTGTGGGAGTACCGAGACTGGCAAACGCGAGGGTACCAACGACTTGGACCTCCTGTCCAATCCATCGGACTCGCGATGCTCGCCAACGCAGACATCGAGTCCTCGGTGGGCTCGTCGGTACCTGATGGAGCGTGGCGGGAACCGTCACCGCCACCATTCCATGATCCTTGGAATAATTCGGATTGACACTTGAGTAGCATGTTGGATAAAGATGAGGTTGTGCGTGCTTTGTATGTGAGTTCTCATTGGGTTGTCTTGCTTGGTGCTGTGCATGTTGTCTCCATGTGTCCGCCGCTCTCTGTGATAACTTTGAGCAGCTTGTTGGGTTGAAATGTTCAATAGTACGGTGCAGGGTGCAGCACGATGGGTCCTACCTCGCTATTTTGACTATGACATCGTCAATGGACCAGCAGGAACGAGGGTGGAATGGATTCGAATCTATGTGCCGGGTCAGTGGCATCCAGTAGCACCTGACACCCTGGGACCGGCCCCGGATGACCCGACCGCCTATCGGGAATGGCGCAAGGTCTACCACTTCGAAGTGTACTGGCCCAGGGAAAGCACTGGCGGCACAACTATAGGCACGGCTCTGCAACCGGTATCCCACGCCACTTTCTACACTTGGTATTACAGGGACTGGGTCACCAGGGGGTACCAACGCTCGTCCGCATCCCAGCATAGCGAGGCCAGTTTTCGCTTCGGGTGCACCGGACCTCATGTATGCTGGAATGACCTCCTCTTCGGCATCATCTAATTCACATGATAGCTGATGCCCGTCCTCGCCTCCCTGGAGAGTCAGACTGTTATTTCCTTGTGCGGTGTTGCTTGCATGATTTGTTGTTTGCCTTCTGATTGCTTGCCGTCGCCGCTTTTAAGTCATCACTGGTTGATTGGGCCCTGGTTGTCTCATCTTTCCGGGATTGTGATGGATCATGGGGACATTACCTGGACCCATGGAGCGCAGCCGACGTGGTTACAATTTCATGGACCCGGGGCTCTACTCGACAGACCCATTCGGCTGACTACGTCGCCTCCGCCCCCGCCCAGTCTGCCACTGCTTCTTCCACCTCCTCCTCCACCACCACCACCACCACCGGTGATTCTACACCCCCAGTTTATGCCCTCGGTACGCAGCCCCTCGATCTCAGCCCCTCGCGGACAATCCTGCCCTACCTCTTTGAAATCGCAGCGCACACGCCGCTCGATCTGCAGCACTGACCCTTCCCGTGATGAAGTACCACGCAGTCCAGGGCGCTCGTCCAAACGATCTCGGACAGCATCAGCTTCAGCGCCGCGGCGATCTCGACGGCCCTTTACAGTGTTTTATTCCAAACGTGCTGGCCGTTCATCGCGATCCCCATCGGCAACATGCAAGCATTACTGTCACGCCATCCTGCGCCATGGACGGAAATGTCTTTCCCCTTGTGCACGTAGACGACCAGGTCACTATCATTGCAGGTGTGCGCGACATCAAAGACAGTGAAAGCCAGGTGTCAGACATTTCAGACCTCGTTGACCCGTTTCACCTTGTGTTTGAAAAGTTGCCTCGCTCCTCAGTGGATGTGTGTGTGGTTGGCAATGCATGTGTGTCCTTGCCGCAGATTTTCGATTGGTTTAGCAGTCGTGCAAGCCGGTATTGCTGCTATGAACCCCCAGTATTTCGAGTACCAGATCGATAGAGGAGTGGAATGGATTCGAATTTACTCTCCGGGCATTTGGAGGCCCGTTCCTGAGGAGGCGCCAGTTCCGGACCCACTTTACGCTTCCACATTTCGGGAGTGGCGCAGATCATATCACTTCCAAGTGTACTGGTCTGAAGACAGCACCGGAGGCACCACAATGGATCCGATCGCTTCAGTCCTCTATGGCGACACTCGCAATGCTCAACGTTGTGATCTTTCGTTCCCGTCTTCTGAGCGGTTTAGGGCAGTGTCTCGCTCCCCTCGCCGTGGTGGATATTTTGGTCAACGATAGTGATTTGAGTTTGAGCATGTGATCTTCCTGCAGGAGAAAAGAGAAACCTCGCCCCTCGTAGAGGGGCGTGTGTGTGCGGAGTGACAGAATGCCCTGTCACCGCCCTTTCGGTTTCGCAGCAGGGGCGTGCAGCACCTTTGGCATACTGCACGCAATGAAGCTGTTGCCAAAGGTGGGAAGGGTGTCCAGACGTGGACACCTGTACCTGCTTCAGTGATTCTGAAAGTCCTTTTGGCCCCTTGGTTGCGGCGCTGTTTGTGCTTCTTGTTCTTTCTGGTAACGTTTTCGACACTAGAGGGAAGCCGAGGGCATTGCGAGCCGAAACTCATCATACTCGAGACTTGTCGGTTGTACTCGAGACTCATCAGTTGTACTCGAAAGATTAGCACTCTCCATCTGGAGTTCAAGTGTGTGTCTCATGGCCGCCAGCAAGTCTCACAACCAGCCCCACAGCCAAGTAACCTCGCCAGCGGCATCACCATCCCCCTCTCCAGAAACCCATACCCTCAGATCTTTTAGTGGGTTAAATGGAAACTACCGCTAAACACCAAAAGGCTAAAAAGCTAAGGAACCGGATGACTGGGAGCCACCAAGTCTGGGGGCCATGCAGCATTGCAACGCGGCTTGGGGCAGCGTCCAGTGCCCAGCTTCGAGCTACTGGTGTCCTTGCCGGGTCGCAGGCCGCTGCAAAGACGGCCACCGCAGCGGCGTCCACGTGGCAGCAAAGCCGGGCGCCGTTTTCGGGGCCTTCAGGCAGGGCGAGTCAGTCGACTTTGGAACCCACCAGCCAAACTCCTGTCAGTTCTCATCCCAGCAGCTGGCGCTTGCCCTCGGCTCACACTCGCAGGCCATCTGGTTTTCCACTTCGGGTCTGGGCCGAGAGCTCCGGACGGCCGATCGCGTGCGGCCAGATGCTCCAACGCCACGCCATCCTAACGTTCTATCAGAAGGGCGGAGGCGTCGTATCAAGCCAGCCTGTGATTCTGGCCCTCAAGGAGAAGGTTTTCTGCGACAAGCCTTTTGGGGGAGCACAGCTTCACCAAATTCCTGGGGAGCCTTCCGGTGCGCTTCCTAGCGCAGGTCTGTACGTAAAGCTCCAAGTCCATATTGCCAAAGCAGACTTCTCAGCAAACAACCATGGAGCAATGCTAGACTCCCACCGCAACCCCTGCCAAGTGACTGCCAGATTTCTCCCACGATGTCTCATCGCTCGTGACTTGCAAAGCTGATCGTTTTTGCAGAATCCCATCGTTTGCGTGACCCCTGCAAATTTAGGCCAGGAATACCTTCAGGTGGCTGGACCTCCCTGGTTTCCCAGACCCTGTTGGAAAATGGGAAGCCTTTTTGGGGTTGACCATTTTAAGTGTGGAAAGCCCAAGCAACGAGGGAAATGGATGCCATCGAACGGCTGGGAAACTCAGACAAACCCGGCACTTGCATGGCCGAAAACCGCCCGCCTTCTCCTCGAGCGCTCTCCGCTCCACTCGCGCACGGTGCGCCGCCGCCTACGCCGCAACGTAAGCGCCTTCCTTCGTGGGGAGGGTGGAAGCGGGGCCCACTTTCAGCACAGAACATCAGCCGGCGTCAAGGGAAACTTGCTCGAAACCGGCCCTTCTGGCAAGCTGAGCTTTGGGTTGAGATTCCGAGACCTACCTTGTTTCTACATCAAAAAGCAAAGAGTCTAAGTCTTCCAGCAGTCTTCGATTGAGCCCCGGTGTAGAACTGGAGAACTGCTCGTGCCAAAGAGGCAAGGCCCACCCGCTGGGCTGCATGATGCGTCCTTGACATTCTCTCATTGGTCGCATTCCACTTTTGGCTCCCCTCCAATCTTGCAGAAAACTCAGGCGGCCCTTGGCTGACCTGAGCACTTCCCCAAGTGGCGATGTTTGAAATCACCCTAAGGGAGAATATAGCTAGAACCCTGAGGAAAAACAGAGAAGTCGGATGGCAACCAAGGAGCAATGCGACGAAAAAACAGATCCCGCCTCAGCTTCACGCCTGGGCGCTGTGGACCATGCAGGCGAATCGGGCCTGCTATGTCGCACCCTCAAGTCCCTTCCAAACGTCACCCAAATACAAAGATTTCGGCAGCTCCCATCTTTGCCTCCACAACGTGGGTTTCCAAGGGCACCTACATTACTTAGGCATCACAAATCCCGATTGTGACTGGGAGCCTGCCCTTAAGTTGGTCACCGGATGAAAACCAAGAATCCGACTGGAGCTTCTGGCTGCCGCTTCTTGCGCACGGAAGCCCCGCAGCCTGTCACACCAAGCCACATCCTTTTGCCAAGGAGCACACGCTCCTCTTCACGCTGTGCTTCCTTGGTGGCAACAGCCGCCCTCGTAAGAAATAACTTCTGCCGTCCCGTGGCGGACCACACTCTAGGCGAATGTCCGTGTTTGTCTGGTGCTAGTAGCGCCTGTGCAGGCCAATTGCAAGATTCCCAAACGGACTTCCTTCTGCCCCAGTGTTGAACAGGGTACCAAGTAGTCCGGATAAGTCAACACAAAATCTGTCCGCCGCATCCACCCCGTCACCGGCCAAGACGCCAAGTCTTCCTTGGCCAGCTCCTTCCGAACAGAAGCCCCGCGCCGGGCCGCCTGGATTTTTGTGGCCGCCTCCTCTCGCTGCTCCTCCAGGCTTTGGCTCAAGGACAAACCGCGCGCGGTAGAATGGTTCACCAAACAACCACCAGCTCCAGCGCCAGCAACAAACAGCACCAGCAACCGCGACAGCAACAGCGGCAGCAGCAGCAGCAGCAGCAGCCGCACCACCACCACCACCACCACCACCACCACCACCACCACCACCACCACCACCACCACCACCACCACCTGCCATTACCATCATCATCACCATCTTTATTACCGGTATTGGTATTAGTTGGTTTATCCAACTAAGTTGCTGGCTGGAGCCTCACAGCCTGGTCAGTCTGTCACAGCTGTTTGGGCTTTATGTGTCAATCCGATCTGCTCTGTCCCGACCACTCTCACAGTCCGGGTCAATCAAAATCTGCCGTCGGAGGTTTCCAGTCAGGAACGGTCTTTTGCAGTGGATGCCTTTGATTTGTCACGGCCAGCCTCAAACTCCGGTCTGTAGCTATCTGGGTTGGGCCAGCAGTCGGATTCACCTTTCAAGCATGCCAAAAGAGACAGGGCAAACCGTGGCAAGATTAACAGCAACTCTCCGTGTTCAGGATACTTGACTTGGTGCTCACAAAGGAAACCCATCCTCACTTGTCTGCTCTGCACGCCGCATTGCTGCACGCCCACCCCTCTTCTGCTGTGCAACAACCTGCTGTCTGGCAGCCTTTCCTCTTTGCAGCGCCTGAAGCTTCGTCGCGGCTTCTTGGCGCCTCGCTGCTTCATCTGCGGCAAAGAAGTCATCTTTGACATCTTTCCCTTTTGCTGCCGGAATTCGGAAAGATGCGGATGTCTTGGACACTGAAGCCTCCTTTCGGACATCATTCCCTCGCTTTATAGCCTGGATTTTCGTTGCTGCTTGCTCCCTTTGCTTTTTCTCTTCGGCAACTTGCTGTCTGGCTGCGTTGCCTCGTTGAATTGCTTGTAGCTTTGTTGCCGCTTCTTCTCGCTTTGCTGCTTCCCCGAATTCCAAGCTTTCTTCCTTGCCATCTTTGCTGCCTGTGCTGTGTTCTGCGCCAGCTGCTTTGTCCGGGGCCTTGCTGTTCTTATTCTGACTGTCCTTGCTGCCCTGGCTATCTTTGCCATCCTTGCTGCCCTTGCTGTCCTTGCCACTCTCCGCGACTCCTCTCTCTTTCGATGTCGCTGCATCCTTTCGGACATCATTCCCTCGCTTTATAGCCTGGATCTTCGTTGCTGCTTGCTCCCTTTGCTTTTTCTCTTCGGCAACTTGCTGTCTGGCTGTGTTGCCTCGTTGAATTGCTTGTAGCTTTGTTGCCGCTTCTTCTCGCTTTGCTGTTTCCCCAGATTCCAAGCTTTCTTCTGTGCTGTTTTTGCTGCCTGTGCTGTGTTCTGCGCCAGCTGCTTTGTCTGGGGCCTTGCTGTTCTTATTCTGACTGTCCTTGCTGCCCTGGCTATCTTTGCCATCCTTGCCGCCCTTGCTGTCTTTGCCACTCTCTGCGACTCCTGTCTCTTTCGATGTCGCTGCATCCTTTCGGACATCATTCCCTCGCTTTATAGCCTGGATTTTCGTTGCTGCTTGCTCCCTTTGCTTTTTCTCTTCGGCAACTTGCTGTCTGGCTGTGTTGCCTCGTTGAATTGCTTGTAGCTTTGTTGCCGCTTCTTCTCGCTTTGCTGCTTCCCCGGATTCCAAGCTTTCTTCTGTGCCGTTTTTGCTGCCTGTGCTGTGTTCTGTGCCAGCTGCTTTGTCCGGGGCCTTGCTGTTCTTATTCTGACTGTCCTTGCTGCCCTGGCTATCTTTGCCATCCTTGCCGCCCTTGCTGTCCTTGCCACTCTCCGCGACTCCTGTCTCTTTCGATGTCGCTGCATCCTTTCGGACATCATTCCCTCGCTTTATAGCCTGGATCTTCGTTGCTGCTTGCTCCCTTTGCTTTTTCTCTTCGGCAACTTGCTGTCTGGCTGCGTTGCCTCGTTGAATTGCTTGTAGCTTTGTTGCCGCTTCTTCTCGCTTTGCTGCTTCCCCGAATTCCAAGCTTTCTTCCTTGCCATCTTTGCTGCCTGTGCTGTGTTCTGTGCCAGCTGCTTTGTCCGGGGCCTTGCTGTTCTTATTCTGACTGTCCTTGCTGCCCTGGCTATCTTTGCCATCCTTGCCTCCCTTGCTGTCCTTGCCACTCTCCGCGACTCCTGTCTCTTTCGATGTCGCTGCATCCTTTCGGACATCATTCCCTCGCTTTATAGCCTGGATTTTCGTTGCTGCTTGCTCCCTTTGCTTCTTCTCTTCGGCAACTTGCTGTCTGGCTGTGTTGCCTCGTTGAATTGCTTGTAGCTTTGTTGCCGCTTCTTCTCGCTTTGCTGCTTCCCCAGATTCCAAGCTTTCTTCTGTGCCATCTTTGCTGCCTGTGCTGTGTTCTGCACCAGCTGCTTTGTCCGGGGCCTTGCTGTTCTTATCCTTACTATCCTTGCTGCCCTGGATGTCTTTGCCATCCTTGCCGCCCTTGCTGTCCCTGCTGTCTTTGCTGCTCTTTGCGAGTCCTGCCTCTTTCGATGTCGCTGCCTCCTTGTTTCGGACAGAAGCAACCTTCTTATGTCTCGAGGTTGTCTAGCAGTGGACGTGCAAAGGCAAGGAAACGTGTGAAATGAGGGGCAGCCTTGCTGTGACCACTTGCAAGAGGGCAAGCTTCAAAAAAACTGCGGCACAAAATGCGAGTACCCCCTCAGCGTCTAGAATGATGCCGCTTCCATGTGAGTTCCATTTCAGTGGAGAGGGCCGAATGACCAAAAATAATAAAAACACAAGAGCGAGACTGAAAAACGCACGAAACAATCGCTTAGAAACACCCGCAATTTGACAAAGGAAGATGGAAATCGCAAACATGAGGAAACCCATGTGAAAACCGAAACAAGAATCGCATGAAAACAAACAGACTCGGGCAAAAAACAAAAGTGGAGTCAGGCTGGCGGGAAGGGGAAGGGAGGGGGAAGGGAAGGGAAACTTTTCCTCTGGGTCTTCAGTTGAATCAACTGCTGTATTCTTCCCAAGTTCATGCCGAGTCAAAACTGAGTCTGAAACTGTTTTCGTGATTCTTCCACGGTCTGCAATCCATGGCCTGCCAACAATTGTATCTTTGGTTCTTGTTTCCTTTTTCTGAGATTGTATTTGTTTTCAAGCCTCTCTGGTGGGTGGGTGGACCTACACATGCAAAAACTATGAAATTATGGCCTCTTCTCGCTTCTGGTGATCCTCTGTCACCTGCTGCCGGGCAGTGTTGCCGCGTCTGATCGCCTGAATCTTGGTTGCGGCCTCTTCTCGCTTCTGCTGCTCCTCTGTCCCCTGCTGCCGGGCAGTGTTGCCACGTCTGATCGCCTGAATCTTGGTTGCGGCCTCTTCTCGCTTCTGCTGCTCCTCTGTCACCTGCTGCCGGGCAGTGTTGCCACGTCTGATCGCCTGAATCTTGGTTGCGGCCTCTTCTCGCTTCTGCTGCTCCTCTGTCACCTGCTGCCGGGCAGTGTTGCCACGCCTGATGGCCTGAATCTTGGTTGCGGCCTCTTCTCGCTTCTGCTGCTCCTCTGTCACCTGCTGCCGGGCAGTGTTGCCCCGTCTGATCGCCTGAATCTTGGTTGCGGCCTCTTCTCGCTTCTGCTGCTCCTCTGTCACTTGCTGCCGGGCTGCCGGATCGCTGAAGTGTGCTGCCCAGTGTTGCCACGTCTGATCGCCTGAATCTTGGTTGCGGCCTCTTCTCGCTTCTGCTCCTCCTCTGTCACCTGCTGCCGGGCAGTGTTGCCGCGTCTGATCGCCTGAATCTTGGTTGCGGCCTCTTCTCGCTTCTGCTGCTCCTCTGTCACCTGCTGCCGGGCAGTGTTGCCACGTCTGATCGCCTGAATCTTGGTTGCGGCCTCTTCTCGCTTCTGCTGCTCCTCTGTCACTTGCTGCCGGGCAGTGTTGCCGCGTCTGATCGCCTGAATCTTGGTTGCGGCCTCTTCTCGCTTCTGCTGCTCCTCTGTCACCTGCTGCCGGGCAGTGTTGCCACGTCTGATCGCCTGAATCTTGGTTGCGGCCTCTTCTCGCTTCTGCTGCTCCTCTGTCACTTGCTGCCGGGCAGTGTTGCCGCGTCTGATCGCCTGAATCTTGGTTGCGGCCTCTTCTCGCTTTTGCTGCTCTTCAGCTGCCCTTTTTCGGTCTGTCTTTCCCCGAAACACAGCCTGTATCCTGGTGGCGGCTTGAGACTTCTGGTCGCGCTCCTGTTGAGCCTGCTGCCTACTCACGTTACCTCTGCGGATGGCTTGGATTTTGGTCGCTGCCTCTTCGCGCCTTTGCTTCTCCACTGCCAGCTGCTTGCGCGTTGCTTGGCCCCGGAAAGCTGCCTCAGGGCTTTATGAGAACACCAACAATTTGAGGCTTCCAGTTCAATTATAAAGAACTCTGAAGTGCAAATCACTGAGAGCGAAACCACAAAGGGCTTTGTTCTACACAGCGCAAAAGAGTGCCACGAACAAACCTCACACATGCGGCTTCTTGCCCGCCTGCATCTTGACGGTCGCGTCCGTCTTCTCTTTGCGCTCCCGCTGCGTCTGCTCCCGTGCCACATGGCCGCGCCGCAGTGCCTGCAGCCGCGTCGCAGCCTCCAAACGCCTGGGCGTTAGGATCGTTGTTGCCTTGATGGCATGGAAAGATTCGACTCTGCAACTCTTTGGGTTTCTTCAGATAGTGGGATAACGGATTAGCACAGTCACTCGTTGCAGGTTCGTTGCCGGCTTGGTGCCTCTGCTGCTCCGCGAGGTACGCCGCCCGCTGGCGCCGGCCGCGGAACAGCGCGGCGGCCCGCGTCACGGCCGCCGACAGCGCCTGCCGCTGCTGCGCCACCTCGCGCCGCGCCAGGCAGCCCCGCCGCTGCGCCTGGATCCGCGCGGCGGCGCCTTCACGCCTGACGTCGGACCGTCGGACCGTCGGACCGTCGGACCGATGCCATCGGAGTGCAGTCCGAGACGAATTGAAACTGCCTTAAAGAAGACAAGTGCAAAATGGCAGCCAACAATCAGATCACAGTTCCTTCTTCCAAGAGAGACAACATCCTTTCAATCTTGCATCATATGACATGTCACTGTTAAAACAAAAACGCACACATGTACCGCCCCTCCCTTGACATCCGCCCGTGCCGTGTCAGTTTGAAGCCTTGAACCGTGAAAGGATGCTATCTGCAATGGCCCTTAGCAAATTCGAATTCTTCCAAACCGCACATTGAGCCTTTGGATCAAATTCTTTAATGACGCCCTGTACCTTTAGATCCAAAGTTTATGGTCCCACACAGGTGGGGGAAAAAAAAAAAAAAACATAAAGGCGCGGTGCCGAGGTCAAGGTGGACAACGCAGCGATCCTCTGTAGCCCCGTAAGCATCTCGCGCCGCGCCAGGCTGCTGCGAGCAGCCTCCTGGACTCTTCCCACAAGTTTTCCGTTTGAATCAGAAAAGCAGAGGCGAGTCTCCACGGTTTTTAGAGGCCCGCTCATCTTGGACGTAGTTTCTGAATCATTTTGGTCCTAGCTTTCGCTCGTTTCTCACTCAACTCAACTCAACTCAACTCGACTCAATTCAATTCAGCCAGCAGCTGTGGCTGAATTTCACTCAGGATTCCGGGACCGGAATAGAACGACGAAGCACTAGGACCGACCGGAGCGACTGTGGGGTCGGTTCCGGAAACGAGGACCGAAACGCCTATTAAACTCAAGCACCAAATCATGGGTGTTGCTCTCCGACTTTGGCCCCGAGCAAATGCGGATTGCCCCAACCCTGTCAGTCTGCATTTGTCAGACGTCTAAAAGGCTTGCAAGAGCTTCATCCCGTGGACTGGGGGACAAAGAGAAAGCTCTTGGATTGTTCCTCGTGTCCCGCATCACAAACTGAACATGCCCAACTTGTTGGACCGAATCCCTCAAGTTCAACAACTGACTTGGCTGTCAATGCCAATGGGATCCCATTTTGGGGTGGGTGCACCACTCATTGTACTCGGGATTTTAGTGGGGATTGGGATGTTCACTGGGGGTACCGGATTTTGACCCATGGCCACTTGAAGACTCAGAGGCTCGCAAGCCGCACCGCCTGCAGCAGGGGAGCTGCCTCTGCACAGAGCCGGCGCAGCTTCCGCACCGCGCGCCTGGCGCCTTGGCCGCGCCAGGCCGCCTGCACCCGCAGCACCGCGGCGACCTGCGGTGCTGAAATTCCGAAAGTCGATGGAAAGAGAAGCGTTGCTATGAAAGTCTGTATCAGTCTGGAGTCGCCTGGCGGCGCTCCTCAGCCTCGCGCTGCTGCCGCTGCCACAACTCCTCTCGGGCGCTTCGCAATCCGAAGAAAGGAGCCCAAGGAACCATTCAGAGCTTCAAACACTTCGAGTCCCACTTGGCCATGGGTCGAAATCCCGTTTCAGTGAACATCCGATTCAATCCAACCGCTAAAATTCGGACCACAGCCGCTTTCCACGCAGCCGGGAGCTTCGAGCCGTCCTTCGCCCGGCGCCGCGCCAGATCCACCTCCGCGCCCAGGCGCTGCTCCCGCGCCTGCCTGCCGACTGCCGAGCGAGCCGTCAGTCCGGATAAGGGTGTACGCGTACAAACAAGCGCCTAAGAGTACGTACATCATGCTATACAAAAAGGTAGATACACATTCATGCATTTACACATTGCGTTTTCTTTGCAATCAGGAGTCCGCACTTGCCCTGAGGCCTCTTTCATTGAGCAGGAGGAGGCAATGAAATTCCTCAAAGACGTTCCTCCGCTGTGAAGAAGCAATTCTGCCGGCACGAGGCGCTCAAAAAGTCTGCTCTAAATAAACAGCGAAACTGAGACATGGTCAAGGCTTTGCCAAGCAGCACAATCATAGCATGATAGCTATAAACGGGGCGTCCTTCATCAGCACGATGTGGGCCGTTTCCAACCGCGGATCATCACATGATCCGAGAGACATTGGTTTTTTTCCCCTTCCAAGCCAATGATCCCACGGTGCACCGTTCCCTCCTTCTGAGCCTTTCTGGTGTCTCGCGCTGAATAGATGCTGGTTCGAGTGACTAGGGTAGCAAAGGCGAGGTCACCGACCACCAAAGTCCCCCCCCCGTGCCTGCGGCGTGCCAGTTCCTCTGCAGGGCTCAGTGTAGCCTAGCGCAAAGAGGCGGAACTTCTGAGTAAAGTGATGACGCTCCTCTCATCGCATTGCCGTGATGCAGGCTTGCATTGTTTCGTGTTTGCGGAGCACTGGCTTTGCGGCCGTCATTGCGTGTAACATATGCATGCCGTCAGTGACTCAGTGGTTAGATGGGAAACTCCAGAATGATGCCCACTCACAACAGCCCCCGCCAAGCTCTGCAACGCAGATGCCTAGCCCAGTCTCAGATTTCATGCAACCTATCCTCACTACACCTGCAAGAAGCTCATTCCTCCCATCAAAGCAGGACAAACGATGCTGCTTGTACCGCATCGGATTGCTCTGGACAAGCACAACCACAAGCAGTCCAAAAGAACGAGACCCAGCGCCACGAAAAGAAAATAATCAATTGGTGAGTGAAAAAGATGTTCGAATGGATTCCTGCTAGCCCACATTTTTCGGAATCCTGACAAGGGAGCCCTATGGCCATCTCTATCAGTAATAAAGCAAGCTCAAATCGGGGTGTCGCAAAAGGGCGCCGCTTTGATGTCTGACGGTACACAGACTGACAAACCATCCCCAGGTGCGAAGAAAAGAAGCAAACCTTTGCCGGCTAGTCCGCTCTTGGGCCGAAGAGCAAAAGCAGCATCAACCTGGAACAGGGCTCCCTATATTTCCCCTCAAAACCTCACCCCTAGGGACAATCACCTTTCATAGGCCTTAAAAAGGTGATGTTTACCACCAAAAGAGGAACTGTGGAGTCGACCTACAGTTCCGTTCCTTCGCCACTTCATCCCACCTCGCTGGGCCTCGTGCGGCGCACCTGACATACTCTGCACCCAAGCGGGTTCCACGGTCAAAGCGTGAGCCACGCCTCGGCTCAAGCGAAACCAAACCAACAGGCAAGATCAAACATAAAAATGCAAAGTAAAATTGCAAGCAAGCAAGCAAGCAAGCAAGCAAGCAAGCAAGCAAGCAAGCAAGCAAGCAAGCAAGCAAGCAAGCAAGCAAGCAAGCAAGCAAGCAAGCAAGCAAGCAAGCAAGCAAGCAAGATCAATCAAACAAAACAAAACAAAAAAAGGACACACACACAACAAAGAAACGAAAACATAGAAGCTTGCAAGCTGCGGTCAAGAAATAGATTTTGAATTGGGTTTGCCGGTTTGCCCTCGCAAAGTCAGCCCTTTTGGTGCCCCCCCAAGCACGCTTGGTTGAGAGAACTGGCTGCTTTCGGCAGCCAACAAAGACACTAACCTTCCAAAGCCACTTAAAGGCCCTTGGAGGTTCTTTGGCCAAAGCTGCTTCACTCGTTCAAGCAACTGAAAACAAAACCAAAAAACACAGTTCTATTAACACCCCACAAAAACACAACGGAATGCCCTCGTCAGACTGCGGCAAATGTCCCAAGCTGGCACGCCTGCTTCACGGGTGCTGCGCGGAGGGGTAGGGAGGAGCCCAGCCGGCCTCACGTGCGAGCCACGCGCATGCGCGCACCGGGGCGTTTGAGTGAAAATCCGACAAAACCAAAAATGGGGCAACCAGGTTTTGGCAGGTTTTGTGCGGGGCAACCCATCTTTAGGCCACAAAAAGTCGACTGCAGAATGGCAGAAGCAAAAGATTGTCTTGATGTCTTTGTCCGCCAAAAGACTCTACCCAATGCAGTTGTTGGCCAGGAAATTAACTTAAACCAAGCATGAAAACTTGAATTTCCTGTCCGACTGGATGCCTTCAGGTCCACATCAAGGAACTTCGCCGGAGGGTGGTCTTGACTCACTTGGACAGGCCAGCGCATGCAAGTCCTTGCCAGATTTCGGCTTTTTCGGCAAACCTTACCTTGGGAAGAGCCGCCTGCGTGGTCAAGGTGCCCCTGGCGGGGAAATCCCACTAAATCCCAGCTCAGGAGAAATTCGCTCTCCTTTGCACCCAGGCTGCCCCGCTTGAGGTCGGCATAGGGGTCGCCGCGCTGGAATGACCCGAAGAAGATGTGACAAGCTCCTCCGGTCAGGCGCAAGGTGCCGCACTGGAAGCCCAGTGTTTGCCTCCGAGTGGGCACGCTCGAAGATATTCCAAGCCTTTGGTTTGCTTGCCCCGGCTAGTAGGAACAACAATTGACCACAGCAGTTGCTGACATATCTCGGCACAGTCCAGCGAATTCGGGTTCTTGATCCATCCCGTGCCCGATTCCTGGCCGGCGTCCGATGCGACGCTCGACTGGCCTGGCCGCGATGCGTGGCTGAAAGGTGCCCTGTCCCAAGCGAATTTCCTGAGAACATTCGATTTGAAGGTGCGATTCGGAGGCTAGGTTGCTCCAGGTTACACAGCACCACTCTCTACACTTGTCTCTACACTTGTCTCTAAGCTTGGCCGCTTCGGGAGCTAGCCATTCAAGATGTATAGCTTCCGTCTCTCGCGACATTCGGGGTGGACTCTCGCTCCTCTGGCTCTCCCGTGCCTGACTCAGCTGGCACCTGAACGGCTGAGGTAAGCATTTGTTCGGGCCGTGTAGAGTAACTCACAATCTTGCAGGCACTTGGATGACCTAAGTAGGCAGTGGGCACATCAAACTCTTGGACAAAAAATGCAATTCTGCTTACGAGAAGGTTGCTAACCTGCCAGCTGCGCTTCTCACTCATCTGTGCAGGGTTGGCTGAAAGCAGCATGTCCGTCTGCCTACCATCAGGCCTGGCCTTCACCTCTATGCTCACATCGACAGCCTGGCGGATGGCAGCGAGGCGCGCTTCCTGCAACGACTAGTCCAGTGTCCGTGTCCAATGACTTGTCAAGTTCAGCTACAAGAGGCTCGAACTGCCTTGGATTCAATGCACTCAAAAACTGGAGTCTGCCAGCTTCCTGGAAAACTCTTCAAGTCACTTACTGTGTAGCGAGCATGCAAGCTGAATTGAATGTTTTGCTGGTCATGCATCTCACACACCCTCACGAGAATGTGCCGGATCGCAAGTCCTCCTCTCTTGCTGCTTTGGCAAGCTTCCTCTCCTGCCAGAAGCGCATCAAGCACTTGGCACTTTCCCAGCGCCACACTGGCTCTTGGGATATGCAGGTTGCTGGAGAACCCATGTTGGCAGACGCGCTTGCCATTGCTCACATTGGGTGTTTTGCACAGGTCTCTTTCCCTTGAGCAGCGGCAACAAATGAGACCACAAGACTCATTAATATAATATCGCTCTTTACGGTACAGAGCCAATTTCTGTTGCTTTTCTCAAAGGAATATGAATTCGCCGCCACCAAGCGAACAGCCAGCCAAGCCAGCAAGCCATCGATGTTCGACCCGAACCTCACGTTCAAAGAAGGTGACAACAAGCGGGTGCATTTGTTGAGCCCAGCCACGCCTTTTTCGGGGAATCGGAACCTTGTGTCAAAGATCGGTCGCCTCCAGCTCCCTCCGCGCCAGCCGCCCGCGCTGCGCCGCCTGGATCCGCGTGGCCGCTCCGTGCGCTGAGGCTGCTGAGGCTGCGGAGGCCGACGAGGCTGCGGAGAAGGAGGCGAAAGGCCTTGGGGCGTAGGGGCCCAGATCGGTTTGGCAGATGGTGAGACGGGGCCAAGCGAAGCAAAACTGCACTGCTCCTCTGGAAACTCTAGCTGAGAAGAATGCTCCCTGGGAGGTGTCTGAGGAGAGAGGTCCCTCACTGGTACCCGCCTTTCAGCCCTTGGAGCAAGCTACGTGAACACCCCCAAAACCCAGCGCTGCTCAAACGTGGAACGACGCGTGTCTGGAGAAGCAGCATACAGGCCAAGGAGAACGACAGCATCGACATTCAACAACCAGGTGTCAAAGCTCTGAGAGAAAGCTCCACAAAACATCCCACCCGCGCATCCCTGTCATGCCGGCAGACCGCTCTGTCCCTGGTGAAGTTCGCAGCCGCCATGCCCTGGTTCGCGCTAGCAAAAAAAAATCCTCAAGACACTTGAAAACAATAGCCATGATGGGCTCCAAGCTGTACGGGCAGACTTGTGACCTTCAAGCGTCAGAAAGACCCAGGGCCTGCCAATGGATTCCTGCTCATGGTCAGACCGCAACCCAAAGCCCATGAAACCTTAGAGCAGTTCACAAGCAGTGCGTCTTCTAGCTTGCCAAGAGTCTCCTCTGGTTGTGCCGTCCAGCGTGACGCCTCCTGGCCTCACTGAATGAGACGAGGGCAAACGAGGTGACTTTGGCAAAGTAAATGTTCAATATGGAGTCGCCGCAACATGGTTGCCATCGCCTTCCACTTTCTCATATGCTGTTGTTCCAGTGAGTAGCAGCGTCCTCGCTAGCTCGTGTGCCCCTTTTTTCGAATGACCGCGTGAGCAATCAAGAGGCCGAAAGGTGGCGAGATCCAAAGCCAACTCTCGCCATAGCTCTCATTCCCGCCTTCCATGGAGGCTCTCTCCCTGGGCCGCACCACTTGCAGCTTCAGGTGGCCCGAGGAACCCTTCCAGTGGAATGATTCAAAGGAAAGAATTCAACCATCCAAAAAGGCACAGAGCCACTCCAAGCAGAGGGAATCATTGATCGCAAATCCCAGATTTGTTGCAAACTGCGGCGCAGAAGACCTTGGCCCATGGCGGAAATGCTCTGGAATCATACTGTAAAACGAGAAGCCCGCAAACGGCATGGGCCCACGGAGGCTGCAAATCGAGGATACGCGTACCAACTACCTCGCGAACCAGATCTGTTTTTTTGTTTCCGGACCGAACCTGAGACAAGAGGGGCCCCACAAAGCGCCAACGGTTTGACCGCAGCATTGGTTCGCCGGCCCTCCCCGCCTGAGGCTCGTGGAGAGCATTTCTTCGAGCTGCCGCAAGCCTCAGCTCCCTCGAAGGAGCCAGAGGCACAACGGAGGTGACAAATGTGAAAACGCGTCCACTTTGGATTGCTAACTCCCTTGGTCAAAGGATCTGCCTGGCGGGGCATTCCTCTGATTCCTACCGTCTGGATGAATCAGAAAACACTTCTCCCACAGGCCCCGCAGAGTGTACTGCAGGTTGTAAAGGCAAGCAATTCCGAGGAAAAAAGGAGCCTTTGACAGCGGAGTTTGGAAGTGGGCATCTGTAAAGGATGGGACCCTTGTCCCCAATGCCCCAAAAGCTTAAAAAGCATGGCGGTGGTTCCCTTTGTTGGGCAGCAGGCAGCAAAAGGCCTTTGCACAAAGCTGCTGCGTTGTTGGGGGATACCCAAGCGAAAGAAACAAAACCAGACACAAGCAGCTGACAATGCGTTATAAGATGAGGGTAGATTCAGTCTGGCGCGGATTCGGGGTTGAGTGTTGGTGTTGCCCCAGCTGGGCTAAGAAAGTGTGTTTCGCCATAGCAGCAGCAAAAACCGCAAGAGTCGAAGCAAAAAATCAACGCCAAGCCATAAGGTTTCAGAAGAAAACAAACCACCAACTCACATGCATGTGAGCGAAGTCCCACTGCCGGAATACAGCTGCGCCTTCACCGTAAAAACTCGCAAAGGACGCTTGCTCTCGACCTCCTGTCGGAAAAACATTTTCCCACGTGGCTCCTGACCCCCCTGCTGTCCCCCCCCCCCCTCCCCCAACCCGTGCCCGCTGGCCGAAGCAGCTAGCATCTCCCTTGCCGGTGGCCAGGAGCTCCTGCAGCTGCGACAGCACCTGAGGCGTGGCCGGCCATATGGGCCGTCCAAAAGTCAAAGGATGGTGGAGTTGGGGGAGGATACCCCCTGCCCGGGTTGCAGTTGCAATTTGTGAGTGCCACCAGATTGCTTTTGTCTTGCAGGCAAATGGCACCCGCAGAGGCAGGCAATGCACCGCGAGGCTTGGTATATTCATCTGCAGCTCTCAGCTCCAACTAGGCACTTCTGCGCTCCACGCGATACGTCCAAACCAATCATTTGCTGTGGATACCTAACTTGATGGAAGACGTGGACTTTCCTCGCTTCCCCTACTGGCCGAGGCGCCTTCTTCTCCTCAACCTGGATGTCCTGCATTGACACTTTGCATGGAAACGCGAAGCTCTGTCGTGAAAAAATAGGCGGGCTTGTTTGCTTACAGGAGATAGCATGATGTTTGAGCCACAGGAGATAGCATGGCGTTTGAGCGCAGGCTCCACTGCCAGCAATGCAGCCTTAGGCCATAAGGGTGCCATCCATGGACCAATCGTGCAGGCATTAACATGACATGCGGGGAACTGCCACCTGATGGTTTGTCCACATGAAGGGGGCCAAAAGGGAATCATGACGAAATCCAGAAACTCTCTATTTTTTGGAGCAGGCCCCACGGGAACATCCAATGACTGCAAGGCTTGATCAAACCAAAAACTGAACGATTCATTGGGACTGCGCTCACCTGCCATGCAGCGTCCTGCTGCAGCGCGCTGCGGAGGCTGTGCTTCCTGCGCACTTCCGGCGCCGACGCCAGCTCCCGCGGTGCCCCTGCCGGCACCTCCCGCGGAATCGCCGCAAGTACCAATCGAAAAAAGGAAAGCGGCAGCTGCAAGTTTCTGGGGGCCGGAAGCTGTGTGAATGCTGTTTGTTCACCCAAATACTACTACTAGTACTAGCCCTAGTACTAGTGCTCCTTTTCCTCCTCCTCCTCCTGCACCACCTGTTGCTGCTGCCGCCGCCGCTGCTGCTGCGGTTTTGCTGTTGTTCTTCTGCTGGTGGTGCTGCTGCCACGACTGCCGCCACAGCTGCTGCTACTATTACTGTTGCTGATGCTGCTGCTGCTGCTACTACTACTACTACTACTGCTACGAATACGTCTACAGCTACGGCTACTGCTACCGTTAGTGCTACCGCTACTGCGGCTGCTACAGCTACTAGTTGCATTCCTCCTACCTCATTGCTGCTGGCCAAGATTAGAAACTCCAGGCAAAATTCATGATCCTGATCAACACGTAGCTTTCATAGGGGCTTTGACCTCGGCACCTTGCTGTCTTGGCCGTAGGCCTTGCTGAAGCATGTTCATTGATGAGACTCATAGTGGCAACTCGTAGTTTTGCTTGCCACCCAATTTCCCCAGCAAAAAGAGCTTGCCACACATTCAGTACGTCGGCCCGTCGAAACGTCCCCCCCATCCACTGCCTGCATCGGCGTGACAGCTTGGCTGGGCGTGATCACTTGGCTGGGGGTGGACGGCTCCCATGCCAAATGCGGTGACGCGGGGAGATCCTCAGCGGAAGCAACGGGCAAGCTAAGGGCTCGGGAGGTATACTTCGAGTGGCCCATGGGTAAACAAACGCTCAAGGCCACCCTCTTTAACGCCACATGGGGGGTTGTTCAAAATACAAGTTCCTGGAAACGGCCCTTTCGCCGGCCTTTCGCGGTCCTTTCGCGGCCCCGTGTTTTCCTTTCGCGGTGACAAACCAGTCCTGAAAAACTTGTTTCCGAGCCCAAACGAGGGTTCTACCATGTATTCGTTATGTTTCAAGTCCTTTCGCGTTCCTTTCGCCGGCCTTTCGCGATGCAGTGTTTTCCTTTCGCGCTAGACCTTCAGAACCTCCCTTACTTAATTTTAAGACTGGCAATTTAGAACGACTCCCACATGTGAAAACAAGGAGAAAAGAAGAAATCCAGTTCTCTCCCCTACTGACCAGCCAAACCACTTCAAAGTCGGGCAGCGCTCCTCATTTTTCCCCTTTGAACATCCCCATGGAGCCCCGCGGCCGTGAGCTCCGTCCACCTCAGCCGCTCCATGTGCGCGCAGAAGGCGGCCACCTCCTCCTTGAAGCAGCAGGGTCGGCAGCAGTCCAGCACCTGAGACCATTGGGTCAAGGTAACTTAGGTGACTTCAGGGACTCAAGTTGGGAGTTGGGACTCAAGTTGTGTGAGTCAAGTCTGACACGCTTTGAATCCAAAATGTTGGTAGAATCTCCAGAGGCAGCCTAGAGAGATTCCCTTAGCCATTTGAGGCAGGCTCACCCTGTGAATATAACACATTTGGGAAAAATGGGCCTGCCAGCTTCCATGATAGCTTGAGGGGCTGGGTGGTCACTTCATGTCAGAACGGAAACCAGCAAGAAACCAACAATTGTGGTTCCTGGATTTGATGCCAAGCCGGACGCCGCCAATTCACTTTGTCCCCAGAACACTATGTAACTCTCATGTATATCAAAACCCCTTGAAAACTCCAGGTGCCCCGAGTTTACGGTGGACATGTGGTTGTGCCGTGGAATGCCAGGAAAAACTCGTAGTCCTAGTTGTTGCTGATACATCCACATCTAGAGAAGAGAGAGAAAGAGAGAAAGAGAGAAAGAGAGAAAGAGAGAGAGAGAGAGATAGCGAGAGGGAAAAGGCGGTCATGGAGAGGCCTGGGAAGGGGGGGCAGCGGGGTGAGCATCTGGTGGTCTAGTCTGGCGAGCACGTCGCCTTGTTGAGGCCGAGTTAAGCAAACGATAATACCCAGTAAGAGCTCAACATGTGGTTGGTAAAGCTAATTTGAGCAAATAAGTCCGAATCGCATTTAGTCGTATTAGCCTTGGTTGGACTAAGCACTGGTTAAGCTTTAAAAGCTTGGGCAGATTCACTCACTTGGCTGGAATATATCTTAACATGGACTTGACTTTGGCTTACCAAATATGCCTGTTCAAGGACGTACCAGCAATGGACTACTATTCCCCCCCTCCACCCCACCCAACGCACCCCCCCCTGGCCTCCATCGAGAAGAAAGTACAAATATTAGAAATGTAGTATGGGAAGCACGTCTGGCTGTGGGTCAAAAAAAGGTACCCAAAATGGAACCCAGGCAAATGGAAACATTAACCAAAACCTGCGATCCCCTGGTACCTTTATTTTGACCTACACCCGTATCATATATAAAATACCATGTATAAAATACCCCGGCAACACATATTCGACAAACAACCATTCAACTCAATTTAATTTGGCCTTGGAACCACCGTCACCAGCAGCCTGCGCTGCGCTTGGCCCAGGTCTGGCGAGAGGCAAGCAACGTCTCACTCTCTCTCTCTCTCTTTCTTTGCCTTTCTCTCTCTCTCTCTCTCTCTCACCAACAAGCAATAGCGTTCACCATCTCTTCTCCAGCCAGCGTAGATGTTTAGTACTGGCTGGGCGGTGGGCATGCCGCGCACAAGGTCTGGCTGGTGCCTGCGCCTGGATTGACGTGCTCAAAAACGCAAGGTCCGACTGGGCCCCAAAATCTCAAGGCGAGTGAACGACTTCCGAGCATGTGCTCCACCCATCGGGCGAGCTTCTGCGCCAATCCGCCTGCGGACCAGCTAAACATCTTGGCGCCCAGGGAGAGCAGCGCCTCACCGGACATGCCCCAGATGTTTGATGCGAAACTTGTTTAGGCGCCTTGCGTGCAAAGCTGAGGGGGCCTTCTGTGCAAATGCTGAGTCTGCAGTTGTCACATGCATATGGAACATTGGCAACACGTGCCTCAGGAATGCCCATCGGTAGAACATGATGGAAACCCATGCCTCAGGAATCATGGAATGCCTCATGCCTGTTGCCTTTTCAAAATCCCCAAAGCCCCAAAGCCCGCAGCCTCACCCCGCAAGCGCCCCCAAAGCCTGTGCCAGCTCCTCCTCCCGTAGCGCCAGGGCGTGGCAGTAGTCGCAGCCAGGCGCTTCAACGGCCTAAGTCGCTCAAACACATCCAGTCATGAGGGCTGGTTCGAACTGTCCTGCCGCCCATGGTTTTTGTTGACCCACCCCAAGTTTGATTCCACTGTTTGAACAGGATGAGCCTTGAGCGACCGTCAACACTTAGGATGCGCGTCAAGAGAATGTCGGGCTCATAGCACCGAACAAATCAAGATAAGCACACAGCTCACCCCGTCCCTGCTCAGCAAACTGACTTGCCGGCTCGCTCGCTTGGGCGCAGAAAGACACAGGTGCACATGAGCTTTCGAAGAATGCACATCGAACCTCAACACATTGCCAGCCGCTCCAACCCCGCCAGCCTCCCCGGGTGGCAAGGGCGGTGCAGTGTCCGGAAGCAAGTTGGGCGCCTGCCGGGAAACTGGCGAACTCGCCATGCAGCACGGGTGCAAAAAACGTCTGGGGCCCAATGCTTACACAGACTCTTAGTCGATCTCTCCTGTTCAGCTTTCAACTTCAGGGTTGCCAATATCGTTCTCGGCCGTTGATTATCTGCCTTCGGTGACAAATTAGTCAACCAACACACCGGACGGTATGAGACCTATGTCAAGGAATGACAAGGGCGGCGGGTTCCATTTATGGTTGGCAATGTCACCCATCTGAACCAAAGTGATACTTCTGCAGGCCATGTACTTCATGGGGCACGGGGGAATTTGAATATGGTACTTGCACGGGTTGGATTTGAAGAAACAAGCAAACTTGTTCAGAGCTAGGAACAGTGCGGCAAACAGCTTCAATGCTGCACCATTTATCATGCTGGGCAGCGAAATGCCAGTCGAATGGACTGTGCCGAACAGAAGACCCTCCAGCACAAATACTTATCTAGTCTGCACGCTTGCATTGTTGCATGCTTGCCATTCTTGGATTGCTGCCGCAAGGACGGAGAAAAAAAGGCAACCATCGAAGTTGAGATATAGCTGGATATACTGGATATGGATACAAGTAATGTAACCAGATAACTGTACCCTCACCCCTGCAATGCGGCGGCCGATGCATCCGGCGGCCGATGCATGCGGCGCGCCGTCTTCTGCGACCAAGGCAGGCGGTCCAGGGCTGCACAAAGCTGCTCTACGGGCGACTCCTGGCGAGTGGAAAGCCTTTTGGATAGGGCCCCAGCATCCCAGTGCCCCATTTGGATCTGCTCCCTTCCACCAAATCTGCGAGCTGGGCTTATTTGAAGTCAGGCTCCAAGCTATGAGAGCAAGCTTTGACCCGAGGTCGCATTTTCAAAGGTGTGTGGTTTGCATTGCTGCTTACCTTGCAGGCAGCCAGATTTCTCCAGCATTAGCCACAACGCTGGTCCTGAGCGTGTCACCTTTCTCTGCAAAGAGTTCGGATCAGTTCAGCTCTTCTGCCGGCATCCTGCCGGCTTCCCCGGGTGTTGTGATCCTTCAAAGTTGGTCCAATGGACTTCTGGCCTCATTATTTTACCATCAAAGTCACCCGCGAAGTGGGTTAAAGGGCAACCCCATGTTCTGACTTTGAAAACCCCCAGAAACCGTCAAAATAATGATTCAAGGACTTGCGTCCTGCCGGCTTCCGCGGGTTTTCCAACTTCTTCAAAGTTGGTCCAACGGACTTGGAAGGCGACAAATCTCCTGGGCGAGCGGGGCGCAAATGCTCAGCAGGAGCTCGGCGAGATCCCGGCGCTGCAGGCGGTTCAGACCTGGCGGGAGCCGGCGGGTTTTGGTTGCGAGAGGTCTTTGTGACTCTCTGACACGGAAGAACCCCAAAATTGGTCAGCTTTTTGGGCTGGACCGGACCAAAACTCGGCTCCTGTCAGCCTTTTGCAAGCCTGCTTAGCTTCAGCACAGCACTTTCCCACTTCGACCTGAGTTCCGCCATTGGCCAATGACGGACTTCCTTTGGCCCCTGTCTGAAACCTGATACCAATAAGCTCACAGGTAAAAGCAGCAAGCCCGCTGGAGCTGCCCCGGGGCCTGCAGACCAGTTGAAGCCCCGCGCGCCCATCGCTTGCAGCCCCTGCGCCAGCGCCCCCACGCGCCGGCCCCAGCAGCTGCAAGCTCCACACCTCCGTTTGCGCCAATTGAATTGGGTATGGTCAAAATTAAACCACCAGCGGACCGCAGGTTTTGATCCATGCTTCCACTTACTAGGGTTCCATTTGGGGTACCGATTTTTGACCCACAGCGAATTATTTCTATCGATGCAAAGAATGACACAGGCTCTGCAAAGTCGGCTGTGCACGTCGGGGCGAGCAAGCAGTGGGAGCAAGCAGAACGAAGCGCAAGTCACACTCTGCCGCTGCTCCGCTTGCAGCTGCACTTTTGAGAAGCAAGAACGGTTCGTGCCTTTCATGCGCCGTGTGCAGCCCAGGGTCATGTGCAGGCAAAAAAGAAGCCGAGCGTGGTTTTTGTGAAAACTATTTTCCACCCGTTGCGAATTTATGCTGCATGTCAGGAACCACATGGCCCGGAGTGGATTCGCGAGCAGCCCTTGTGATCAGCAGAGGCGAGCTCCATGACCCTTAAAGGCCTGGAGCCCTCGCCTAAAACTCTGGAGGTCATTGGGGCTGAATCTGGAATCTTCTCGCCTTTGTGCGACGCGATGTCTTCCTCGTTCTGAGCAGGGCCTATGAGAACCCCCAACCACTCCCAACACAAGTCCATTTTCTCGTTGGAAGGGAGTCATTCAACCTGCTCTCCTAGTAACGTAGCCTGCTGAAAACTGGAGAAAGCAGACCAAACCATTAGCAAGTTGCTTAATCCTAGTCCATACATCACATATATATGTATGTATATATATATATATACAGAAAATCACATACATACATATATATATATATACATATCCCTACTGGGTACCCACTACGGCCAAATTGCCTCCACCCGTCTCGCCTCTTCGGCAGGGCATGGCCCCCAACGGCACGAGCAGCTTCCGGGCGCAGCAGTGCAGCGAGCTCGCCTCATTGCGAGGCGCGGGGTACGGACTCAGTAGGAACCGACCGGAGAAAAGGTGGGGACCAATGGGGCCATGGGTCAAAATCCAACATTCCGTAGGCCCCCAGTGAACATCCGATTCAATCCAACCACTAAAATAGGTCCTAGAATGGGTGGTGAATTCACCTACCAACCAAAATGGGATCCCACGCCCCATTGTCCCAGTTCGGCAAGCGCGCTGCCACATGACACCAGGGTTGCTTTGCTTCACCAAAGCATAAGATTGTCGCAGACCGCCGCCAGCCTGTCAAATGACTGGCAAACATCTCCTAGCTCGCTCTTCTTTCTATTGTACATGCCCAAGTCACAGGAGTAACAACCGAAACCCAATACTGCCCATACTGACCTGTGTTTCTGGTAGCTGAAGATGGGACTCTGGAAAGCGGCCAAGCATGCCCCACAGATTGGTCCAATGTCTCATGCGATGGGAACTGCGCACATAGCCCCGCTGAAGCGCCGGAAAGGTGTACGAATCGCTTGCGACTCAAGCAACCGCAAATGTCGTTGTACAGCTCCAACAGTTTATGACACAAGTTCAGCTTCAAGACTCGAGCGACCAAAGTGCTGTTGCGTTGACGCGGCGAGGAGCTATCCAGGCTGTGCAACTGGTCCTTGAGCTGCCAGTCCATGCCATTGAGCTCAAGACCACACGCAGTTTGTTTTAGATCTCCAGTGCCGTTCTTGTTTTCAGGTGGTTGCCAAGCTGGGTTGCTGAAGCACATCTGCTGCTGCATGATTGCATGTTTGCCTGTGTGTGGTTCCGTACTATGCATTAGAAACATGGCCAAGCTTCTTCACCGAAAACACTGATGTGATGCGGGCTCAAGCCCAAATCAGTCTGCGCTGATCTGCCAACGATCGGAGTCACCGACACTGCGAAAGTTGAATTCGGCAACTTCAAAGCAACTGATACGAACGGCACACAGTGACGAAGGTCCGAAGGCACAACCTCAGGAAACAGAGAGATATCCTGACCCAAGAGAAGGCGTTCACAGTGAGCATCCCCATGTCCACTCAACTTGCAAGGGCAATGCCTTTTTTCCAACAGTTTGCCAAGAGGCAGGCTGCGCAGCTCTGCCTCCTGATTTTGAGCTCGCGAGGCCGACGGACCCCACTTAACAGCGCGTTGCGCCGGCGTGGGAGAGGCCGCCGCAAGCTCAGCCACGAACTGCGACCGTGATATGGTCAAAATGCAGTCGACGAGCCTACGACGAGCCTACGTACCCCTGCTCCATTGCTCCATACTTTTCGGCTTCCCGTTCCAACGCCGAAGACGCAGCAACATAGCAGCGATCGAACGGCGTGACGGCCAAGCAATGCCAAGCACTCAGGGTGCCGCGGATTCTGCGAGCCCACATGCCAGCACACGATCCAAAAGCGTCGCAAGCCGGACTTACGCTCGGCGGCGAGAGTCGCAGAGGTGTCGGCCTGGGCTTCTCCCCGTCGCTCAATGCTCGCCCACTGGCGCCGCGGGCTCGGGCACATCCATGGGCGGCTCCACCGGCTCCGGCGGCTGCGCCTCAGGCCCGTCACTTGCCAGGGGCGCGTACCCGGCCGGGGCCGCAGCCGTGCGGACCTGGCGGCTCCCGCAGGCCGAGCACTTTTCGGGGTGCGAACGCCAGACATGGGCCATATCAGAACCAGGATGTTCTGAGGACTTGGACCCACATGCTTTCAAAGGCTTTCCCATTCCGCGAACTGAATTCAAATGCAAGGCACAACTGCAACAAGCATGTCAAATCCATATGCAACAAGAAAGTCCAGCTGCGGCCGACTCCTGCCTGCCGTCTCCAGGATCTGAAGCAAGCCAATGCCGCCATGGTAAGGAAGAAGAAAGCCTCACTAGGTGGACTGGCGAAGCTGCTCAGCTTTGCAGGCCCTGATAGCCTTTCCCTGGTACCGCCTATTGCCTCTGGATAGAGCGGGAGAGAGGCCCTTCCCAACACGGCACAAACAGGAAATACACCCAGGATATCTACCCTACGGGTGCGTTGCTTCAGCAGCAGGAATTAACATGGGCATCACCAACTTGCTTTGCATCGCTATACTTTCCAAGCGATCCAGCTGTCTGAACGAGCCCTTGAAGGAAGCAATGCAGAAAAACAAAACAAAAAAGATTCATAGATAGTCGTTTAATACTGACCAGTTATGACTGATGCTCGAGCAACGCCCCACCACCTCGCCAAACAACAACCCCACCACTTAACCACCTCACCACCTCATGGCATGCAAAAATGACATGTCACCTGTTCAATCAGAAGAAGACCCAACTCGCCCGTGTAAGAATTGCCTCTTCAGAAACCTCTTCAATGCTCTTCAAGATTCGGGCGAAGCGGGATCAAGGATCCTTGAAGGGAAGCGCACTTGCAGTGCTCTGACCAGGGCCACCTACGCAATTCAATTGGGCTCTTGCCCACAAGGTGAAGAAACTGCTCCTGCCCCACGTTGCCTGTTTTGAGAGGTCTATCACTTGGAGTGTTGCGCAGTACAAAGATCCCACTGCACTGCAGCCATGCAAAGGCGCGTAGACCGGCCAAGCCGGCGCCGCAGGCTCCACAGGCGCCCAGTGCTGCAGCACATCGTGCCCGAAGCGCGCGGAGCCCAACACGTAGTAGCTGTCCTTAAAGCGATATGGCTATGAATCAAAACCAATGGGATCCCATTTTGGAGTAGGTGCACCACCCATTTTAGAGCCTATTTTAGTGGGGATTTGGGATGTTTACTGGGAATACAGGATTTGACCCATGGCCATATGTCTTCCATGTGCTAAGTGTGGTGAAGGACGGTTTTCGCCCGGTTGCCAATATTGGGACATGGACCTGAGCATGCCCAAGTTTCGAATCGAAACCCAACAACCCGAAAAGACGCCACAAAGAGACCCCCATCATGGGCCGGGAAAGAAAGAGCTCAAGTACTGGGCTCCAAAACGAGTCATCCGGAAATCAGTCGCAAACTGGTTCCCAAAACCAGCTGCATCCAGCTGGCATGTGACTTTACGAAGGCCAAAGTCTGACCTTTTTGCACTGAGACCTGGAAACTTGGCCAGGCTGCATCAGGGTCGCAGGGCTCGGAGTCGTACCTTGAACAGACTCCGACTGCATGAAAAGGGCCAACGGCCCGATTTTGAGCAAAGTTCAAGTCAAGTCAGCTCAGGTCTCCGGTTTCGACACGCAAAAACGGTTCGCAAAGGAACGGATCCGCCACGGCGCATGCAACCCCAGGACTGGACCTCGCAGAAGCAGGTCGCCATGCGCCGGGTGTCCACTAGCACCGGCGCCTTGTCGCCTGGCCAAGGGTCCGAATGGGTCTCCGGATGGGATGCGGAATTCACACTGGTTTCCTGCTGTGCCATTGAAATCACAACAATGGCGCCCAAGAAACAAGACAGTCAGACACGCAAATGAGCAACTCAAGCAGGCCATGAATCTACAAAAGTGTTGTCTGCCCAATCGTTCAGCCTGCGTGAAATCCGCAAAATTGGGTGTCCTCCCCAAAAGCATAGACGAGCCATGGTCAAAATGACTGTTTCCCCAAGAGGACGTGGCGAGTCCCCGCTTTTGTGGAACAAAATGGGATGAGCTCTTGCATGAATCGACTGGAGATGTTGACTGAACCTCGAGTAAGTCAGCTGGGAGGAAGGCTTCGGGCTCCATGGAGACATGGCAAGAGCTCTCATGAAGAAATCTTGGAAAATGTCCGTCGGGCTGAAACGACCCAAAGTTCGACGCGTTCCTGGTCGCCTGTTGATACGTTCGCCACCCTCAAACAACATCACAAAATAGCTCCCACATCCTAGCAGCCAACATGAGCATACAGCTAATCGATTCCGCGCCAGGGTGAGTGTGGCAGAAGGTCGTCTGGCTGCAGTTCAGGCCATAGACCTTGCGCCGCAAAAGGGCTGGTGCAACCCATGGCCACGGCCAATTCAAAGGCTTGAATCATCCAGGCGAAGCGAAGCCGTGGGCAACGATGCATTCTGCCAAACCTGCCCGCCTCTTTCCAGAAGTCCCGACCACATACGTCGCGGGTGCTGCCGCCTGGAACGGTGTCTGAGTTGGGTTGCCATGTCAAGCACGGCAGCCTTGCTGACCTCTGTTCCCCCTCAAAACCGGCCCAAAGGAGCTTCCCTAGTTCAGGACAGGGACAAATGCTAGAGGTATATACATATCTCGCGCTCAGATCTGGATTTGAGTTGTAAGGCGGCAGTGAGGATGTCCCCAGCAAAACACGCACAAGCCCAGCATCCCAGCAGCCCTCTTTGAGCAGGGTCTCAACCTTTCTTGCCAAACTCGGCCGCCAAAACAGGATGCTTAACACCCGTCTTCACGCCTATCGCCCAGGAGTTGCTCTCGCAGGGCTGCACTAAGCCTCAGACCGGCTGGAAACTGACATGCTTGGAATTGGTCGAGCCGAGCAGTTTGCCGGCCACGCAAAAAGCTATGGCGACTTGCTGCAACTCACTAGGGTTGGTTTTGAAATCGAGGATTGCCTTGCGACCACGCCCGTGTAAGTTGTCTTCTGGTGGCCCGAGTCAACGCTTTGGACTCTGGATGCAACTTTGTGCCTTGCCTTGATCAACCAACACTTAATAACTCTGGCTGTGTTGCTAAACTAGATTAAAGGACTTGTGCCCCCCCATTCTCTGAACTGTCGCTATAGCTCCAACAGCGCTTTCGCAAGTATCACATCATTACGTCCATTTAAAAAATGCCACTCCCTTCCAATTAACATAGACAAAGGATTGCTCATACTGGATCAACCTCATCGGAAACGCGATCCGCGAAGCGAACAAAAATACAAGAAAGATTGAAGATTGAACGGAAGTCTTACCTACAGACTATGTTTGTCATGCTGCGTCCCACCCTCTCACCCCACTGCATTCGGCGCTGCTGCGGTGCCTTGTATAAAGACAAAGCTGCACATGTCATGCAGTGCAATGCAATGGCAATTTTCTGACTGGGCGTGGCGGCCAGTCCCGAGTTGAAATTCTTTTGAATCCAAAGCTCCCACGGAAGGACAACTCCGCTCGGAACGAAGATATCCGGCCCCCAGGACATCACAGGCCTCGCGGTTGGGTCATGTAAACGAATGGCTGGAATCGACCCCCGGTGACTGCGCGGGTGCAATGCTCCACCGTGGCCCAACAAAAGCTGATCGCAAACTGGCGCGGGAGGAGCGTTGGTTTCGGCTTACTGGCCCATGAACAGAACTTAGACCGACAGATCGGCCAACTGACGCAACCCTACGAGGGCCCCAAGCCTGGAAGAAACTTGAGGCCTGACAATGGATTCGCATTGACGTGGAGGGTCTTCTGCCCGCTTTTGGATCAAAACCTCAGCTTCG